AGCTCCTGTTGTTGTTGGGGTTGCTGCTGCTGAAGGTGTTGGGGTTGCTGCTGCTGAAGGTGTTGGGCTTCTGTGAGTTCTGGTTGAAGTTGCTTCTCTGGCCTGTGTAGTTTCTGTATTCTCCTTGGTTACCAGTCCTCTGAAAACCGGCTCCACTGACCCATTTTACATCTTCTTCTATATAATCTTCACCTGCAGTCTCTGCATTCTCCACTGAACAGATCTGCTTGTTTATCAACTCCACTGACCCATTTTGTCTTCATGAAGTTCTTAGTGCTGTTGCTGGAAGCTAAATTATCAATGAGCTTCATAGCCTCTTGTGGATTCCTGGTGTTGAAGTTGCCTTCACTAGCTGTATCTAGAGCTCTCTGATAGTCCAATGTGATGCCTCTGTAGAAAGTGCAAAGGAGTTGCACTTTGTTGAAACCATGGTGTGGGCAATCTCTTTGGTAGGACTTGAATCTGTTCCATGCATCTTTGAATGACTCTTCAGGATTTTGAGTGAATGTAGCAATCTTTTTCCTCCATTCTTCAGCGCGTGACTCATCAAAGAAGTTACGCAGGAATGCGTTCTTGATGTCACTCCAGGTTGTGAGAGAAGCTGGTGGTAGTTGTCTAAGCCACTGCAAAGCTTCTCCAGATAGAGAGTACTTGAAAAGCTTGCAGAGAAGATAGTCTTGAGGGACTCCATTGGCTTTTATGACGGTTATGAGATCCTCGAACCTCTCCATATGGTCCATAGGATGCTCATTGGACAACCCACAGAAGGGTATTTTTCCTACAAGGGTGTAGTACTGCGGCTTAAGCTTGAAATCTCCTCTCTGAATAGCAGGAGGGCGGATGGCTGATCGGTTGGAATAGAACTGATCTTGACGGTTGTAGTCAGCCAAAGATCTAGCTTGGTTAGCCTCTTCTACAGGTTGAATGATGTCTGTAGGTGCAGTCTCTTGCTCAGGTATGATCTCCTTCTGAGCGTTCAGCTTCTGCCCTGCTGCATTACGCATGTGACCATCTTGATCACGCAGGTCTCCATTCTCATTGGTAGTGAGAATAATAGGCGCTACCATGTCTCGCCGGTTAGTATTGATCGATGTAAAGTGAGGTATATCGATCGATGTCGGATGAAGGGTATCGGTCGACGAACGGTTGTTGATGTCGAGCGATGTGACGGTGAGAGTATCGGTCGACGTTGAAGGTGTCTCGGTCGACTGTGGTAGGCAAGTATCGGTCGACAGGGATGTGTTGATGTCGATCGATGAGGAGCGTAGGTCTTTGCGGATGCTACGTTCCAAGCCGTGAGGATCTTCTGAGGTCAAAAGGTTTTTTTGTCCTTGTTGCTTCTAGTACTGCTGGGCATGTACCTGAAAAAGACAAGAAACAATTTTTGGTGCGAAAAGATAATTAAACAATAAAAGAAAAATAACCTAGACCTAATCAGATTAAATCTAATGTTATCAAAGTTCCCCGGCAACGGCGCCTAATTTGATATCACTCAAATGTTTAACCCTAAGTGAATTACTCTCTCAAATAAGAGGTTCAGTTGTAGTACTTAGGGATCGAATCCATAGGGAACTAAGGAATACAATAGATATAATCTAAATGATTATGCTAGGTTGAAAAAGTTTAAAATAGTAAATTTGCAGTTTGTAAGCAATGGTAAGTTGCTTAAGAGAATGGATTTTAGGTTTGAAACAATAAAAGAAAATAGTTAGATTCAATGTTGCTATACAGATAATCAAGATTATAATGCTACAGATGTTTTAATGAATTGCTTGCAAGATATATGAGAACTTTGATTCTTAGATAGATCTAATAGCAGTCGCTAAATATACACATCCATTGAACTTATTGCCAGCAATATCGACCGATGTTTTGACAGCGATATCGGACGATATGGGTTGCTGTCGATCGATTACTCTATAGGAGTATCGATCGATATAGCATAAGATCGAATCAAAACTGTGTTCACCAAGATCATAGACCGGCTCTCGCACAACCCTAGAGGATCTAAGCTTATGCCAAATGATTTCAGAACAATGATAAACAAGTTAAATCACATCCATGATCATACTCTAGGTAGCTACTTTAGAGTAAGCATTAGGGTTCATTTGGATATTGAATATCAACAATTCAACATTCCACAGTTGGGGCTAATCCCTCATAACTATTTGAACCCTAAATCTAACAAAGAGATCTACTCAGACATAACTGAGAGATTCATTACAACTAGGTAATAATAGAAACTCATAGATAGAGGATTGAACTTTTGGTTCTTGGAACAACAAATCTCTTTGTGTGTTTCCCTTAAATATAAAATTCTATAACCTTTAAGAAATTAAGATGAAAAGGAATACTTTATAGAATAGAACAAAGTAACAAGAAAAGTGTGCAAAGCTTTTCAAGTACAAAAGGTATCAAAAGGTATTAGAAACACAAAAAGCATGTAAAGCACCCTTTGCCAAACACAAAGGCAAAAACTATAAATAAGAGTTCCATTAGGTTAAAAATTTGTCAGGGGTATTTTTGTAATATTGGGAAGACTTGGGCTTCAAGTCGGCCAAGTTGAACTTGTTCTCCACGCATTATATCGATCGATGGTACATGGTGTACATAGATCGATGGAGTATCTCGACTTCATCTTCAATAGAAGCGTCATCGATCGATACACACCCTGTGTAATCATCATTACCGATCGATATGTGTACTCATTATCTGATCTTCATAGTCATCTCAGAAAACTCTCCTTTAAGCTCCAAAAGGGCACCTAAATCATCATTTTACTCCAAAGTGCTCCTGAACCTGAAAACATACCTAATAGACTCCAAAACATATATAAAACTCATAAAAACATATCAAAACTATGGCTAAAAGCGGGTCAAAATCATGGTCTATCAGAAGATCTCTTCCGCGTCGAGAAGTCTCACGGGTTCTCAGTCTTACCTCCCTCATGTTTAAGGGTTTTGTTTGGAGTTTGTGTGCTTAGCTCCCTTGATGTTTATGAGCTGCAAAGTATTCACCTTTATGATACATTAGAATCAGTACAATGATAGAATCTAACGTGTTAGTTTAAAAGAGTAATCTTTATATGTTATTGATGGAGGAGACCCAAACATTGAAGACGAGGCTAGTCTTTTGAGTGTATTTATAGAATAATTAATGGGAAGAGTGACTACTTTCTTGGTGTGGACAATGGTAGCGAAGCTGAAGATGAAACAGCAAAAGAAGCTCTCTGAGGCTGGGAATAAGTAAGCTCTTCTTTTCATTACATACTGCATTGGCTAAGAGTTGGATTTCATGTTTTTAAGATCTTTATTCTGCAGAACTGCAAGAACAACAAAGAGGGTAACTCTAACTCGTGTGGTGTTGAACAAGCGATCTACACAAAAGGCACTACGAAAGGAGGAGACTAAGGAAAAGCATAAAGAGAAGCTATCAAAAGAGATTAACAGGTACTGAGTAATGCATGTTTTGCCCAAACTATCCTCGTTCTTAGTTCTTACTATGAATTCTTTATGGTAGCTTGCCCAAAATCATAAAAGAAATAGCTGAAGAAGGTAAAGAAAAACTGATACGACAAACCATCGCTAAAGAGGAGGTGCTCAAGATACGTCCACCTCGTTTGGGAAAGCACAAGTATGAGGCTCGTCTCCTCCTGTTCAAGTCTTTCTAACAGAAGAGATGATCGGGTCACTTCGTAAAATGGAAATTATTAAGTGTATTATATTGACGCAATTTATTTCCAATAGTTAGCTCATTAATTATGGTTACTAGCAATTTAAAATACTTCTTAACAGTTTTTATATTTTATTCCAGATGTAATATTTCTATAATATTATTTGAAAAGTTAGTTTCCTATGTGTCGCGTTTACGTTAACTTTTACGATGGTTGATTACACTGATACTCCTAATGAATTAAAAATATTACATTTAAACACTATTATTGATATTTTTTAGTTTTCTTTTGTTTTTTCAAATTTTCCAAATAACATATATAATAAAAGGAACAATTATAAATTTAAAAAAAAAATCACAAACGAAAATGTATATATATAATATGATTTCATTTAAAAGGAAAGTTCATAAAATAGAAATATTTCATTTAAAAATATTTAAATAACATAAATTATACTTTTGAAGTAATAAAATATGTCTTTATAGCTATATTTTCTTAGATGAAATATATTTTCTTATATTTCTTTTTGTTTTCTTTTTTTTTTCAAATTTTCCAAATAACATATATAATAAAAAGGAAAGAATTATAAAGTTTAAAAAAAAATTAAAAACGAAAATGTATCTATATAATATGATTTCATTAAAAAGGAAAATTCATAAAATAGAAATATTTCATTTAAAAATATTTAAATAACACAAATTATACTTTTGTAGCAATAAAATATGTATTTATAGCTATATTTTCTTAGATGAAATATATATATATATATATATATATATATATATATATATAATTTTGATATTATAAAAAGAATCATTATTTCTTTTAAAACATAATTTTAAAGAACACAAGATTATTTATGTTTAATAATTATAATTTAAACACAGGTCTTAAGTTATACATAATATAATATACTAACATATTTAAGACAACAACCTACGTAAATGAAAAAAATTAATCATAATTTGATATATTTAAAATTAAAATTATGAGTTGAATATAGATAAATAGACGTAATCCAGTATATCTAAATGATAACTAAATAGGTGGTAAAACAACAAAACGACTAGATTTAATATATCTAGTATCATATGTCTAATTAAAGTAATACAATATTATTAATATATAGGATTTTAAGATATATTAGCTGCCTTTAATTAAGAATAGTTTTGATTAAAGTAGAAAAAAATATAGGAATCTTTAGAATGAGAGAATACATTAGTTAATTTGTAGATTTTTTTTTTTTTTTATCATATTCCCCATAGTGTTTTCTATAAAGTAGATATAAACATTGGTGGCAACAAACTATTGCAAATCATAACTTACGATGGCGGAGGAAGGCAGAAACGGAGACGGTGTAGACTCAATCAGTTTACTACCTGATGTGATCCTCCAAACTATCCTCTCCTCTCTTGAGACCGATATAGCCATCAGAACTTCTATCTTGTCCAAAAGATGGAGGTATGTATGGTTCGGTACACCTAGCCTCCACTTAAAATTGTATAAGCATGGGCCGGAAGGTGATTCGTTCATCAAATTCATAGAACGCTACACGGTTCGCAAGATGTTGAATTTCGAGCTGTGGGCCAACGTGAGAGACAAGAATAGTCCTTACGTAAACAGATGGATCGAGTTCGCTATGTCCCGAAACGTGGAGAATATGTCTTTGATAGTTTCTAAGGTTCCTGATTTCTTCTATATCAATAACTCTATCAGGCAAATCAGTGTTGACGGTTCGTATAGTGGTTTGAAAATCCCCAGTTACGTGTCTTGGACATCTTTGAAGATGCTGTCCTTGAATTATTTCACGCTCTATGACAAATGCATTGATAAGATTATATCTGGATGTCCGGTTCTCGAAAGCTTATCCCTGTCTTTTTGCAATGAACTGATGGTTCTTGATCTTAGCAAAGCGTTGAGTCTGAGAACGTTAGAAATCTACCGCAACACTTGGTTTCCGGGTCCGAAGCAGATCGTTGCACCGCTTATTCGTCATCTCAGATTGACAAACTCTCAGATACCATGTACTTTAGTTGATGTCTCGTCTTTAAATAAAGCTAGAGTAGACATTTGCTTTTCTGGACCTGCAGATCCGGAAGATGATTTTCTTCAAGTACAGATGCTAGAGAAGTTGCAGAATATAGAAAAACTTACTTTCGGGGAAAACTTTCTTAAGGTATGTGATTCGTGTATTCCAAAGAATAAATGTACATTATTGAGTTCCTCTAATTCTGCAGAAACTAAAACTATGAATTTTATTTTTGTTAAAATGTTTAGTATGTGTATGAACCCCAAAATCTTAGATCCTTCCACTGTAGCCGAATCACTTACTTTTTACTAGGCATATTAGTCTATGTTAAGCCTACAACTTACTTTTCATTAGGCTTTGATTTCCAATAAATTTGTGTTATATGCACTCTCTCTTAGACCATCTCTAATGGTTTATTCTTTTCTTTTTTTTCAAACTAAAGTGATTCTATAATAGAGTGAGTCTCCAATTGTACTCACTTTAAGAATAAAAAACAAATTGATGACCAGAAAATAAATTGACTCTATAAGTGTTTGTAAAGAGCAACACTCGTCGTTGAGCAATGATGATTCTTGTCTTTCAATATTTTCGTAAGCTTTATTTTTTAATTTCTTGTAGAGATTTTTGTTTCGGTATTTACTATATCTATCTATGCTTTTTGTTAGATTTTATCTCTTGCCGAACTTCGTTGTGTTCCGTTTCCAAGCCTCAAGGTCAAAAATTTGACACTTGTGACAATGATCTCTCAATATGTAATCCCTGGTATAGTTAGGATGCTACAAAACTCACCTGAACTGAAGAAGCTAACAATTATACACACAAGTGAATATTACAGCGCCTTACCGGTATTTTTTCCATAACACTCTTTTATTTTCTTATCATCCTTGACCATTCTAACTACTGGCGAGTTTGAACCATATCCTTTCATTTTCGGTTTGTTAGAATTTGAAATATTAACATGCACCCAGTTTATTGAAAACCTTTTCTGATGTACAGGAGAGACGTATTGACACCTACTTGGATTTGAAAAGCTTGAATTCGGATCAGTGCTGGAGTGTGAAAGCGAGGGTCTTTGAGAACATTAGAGATTGTGATATAGAGTCGAAGCACGTGGCTTTGTTCATGGAACTTATGTTTAAAAACACAAAGACATTAGAGAAGATGGTCGTTTGGTTGGAAAGTTATGATCACGGTCGAATTTCTGAAGAGTTGCTTGAGATGGTTCCAGTGCTTTCTGAAAATAATAATGTCACCATAGTGATCAGCTCATCCGAGTCGAATCTGAGGGATTAGTCTTGATCTTTTTTTTTGAACCAAAATATATAATAAGCAAACTTTCTTTGTAGGATTCGTTTGAGCATTACTAGTGGTTAGGTTAAATACTCTGAAGAGTGTTTCACCATATATAATATTAATACTTCTATAAAAATTTAATTATTTGTTTAAAATGTGACTGGAAAATGCTAGTTCAATTACAATATCACATGCCTCTTTGGACTTCTAAAAAAAGCATTAGATTATCTCAAATGAAAGATCTATAGTACATTTCTACGTTATTTTCTTCTTGTTTTAGAAATTGGTCTAGACAACGCTTGATCTATATTACATTTCTACGTTATTTTCTTCTTCTTTTATAAATTGGTCTAGACGACGACCTAGGCGTCTGCCTAAACAAGAATCCTCTATTAGATGCCTAATCATCATCTCGCGATTTTTAGAACCAACTGGTTGTACTGAGCAATTATATTAAAATGTGTACTGTGAACAAAGCAGGTTAGTATTCGATTTGGAACTTATTTGCTTACTGTGAACAAATCAAGTTATGTTGAGTTCTTGCTATGATCATATGATTTTCCCAGGATCTGGGAACTATTATCATGTTGTCTATGGCTTGTCTGAAAAAATGGAGCTAATATATGTTGTGTTTTAACCTTCTTTTTTAACGCTGATTTATTATGATAGTACAATTATGAGAAAGATTACATAGATGATTCAACAACCAACAATGCTATCAACCTTTTAAGGATCTACGTCTAAGTGCATAACCCAAGCCGTCCTATGAAGATCCACGACTGACCGAATTTATCTACACCATGTTAAAGATCCCTTGTAAATAGTTCTTCTGTAGTCTGCATAATTGTTTAATAAAACGCTTTCTACGAGATTGAAACATGGATCTTCTATAATGTGCAATGTGCAAGAAATTGCATAGTTTGGGGTTCAAACCACATACCTAGGTGTAGAAGCCTTTAAACCTTAACTACAACTAGGATACGGTGCTTGCACGATGTGTGTTAACTTTTAACATTTAGTTTGGTTTTAGTCTTTGCTTCAATCATTGGATAATTTTGTAAAAAGTATCTCTTGTCATTTCCATATAGCTGGCAAATAAGCAAGAAATGATATTTTATCTTCTTGTTTGTTTGATTCAATCTTTTCCCCCAGTATACACATTCCAATTCCATAAAGTTGCTATTACACCACTTATTCACAACCTATTTTACATTGATATGAAAAATACAATGCAAGCTTGAAGCTCCTACCATCTTACATATTCTGGAAGAGAATGGGACTGCAGAGAATTTTTATGCTTCTTCTGTCTTTGTGAAGCAATGATACTTGTGGCAACCGCAAGAGCAAGCATTACTGAAGCAACAACCTTCTCTCTTAATGTTGAGATACCATTCACATTCCTTCCAATTTTCCAAAAACACCGTATCAGATTTGAACCTTGATTCAATAGAAGTATAGAAGACTAATTCCTAAAATAGTCATACCTTAGGACAATTGCAGCTGGAAAGATGAATGCTATAGAGACTGTAGAAGTTGATCCTAGGAACTGAAAGAAGTATCAAATGTCCGGTATAGCATTGGCAGCCAAGAAACAAGATATGAGCAACGGAAAAGCGAGTCTAGAGAATCTTTTATTGTCATTCACCAAAGAAATCTTCAAAAGGAACAAGAGTTCATCCAGGTTGGCTCTTAAAGAGAAGTTGAGCAGAGGAAACACAAGCATGAGGTGGATCACGTAGCTTTCTCTAACAATATTGTTTGGTAATGAACCTATTGAAGAACTGAAGCTTTGATCAAAGTTCATAAGAACATCCGTCATCGTGGAATCCCCAAAGAGAAGGTAACAGAAGAGACTAGTCGCTGACTAGATCGTAGCGCACAGAGAAGAAGAGAATTATGTGGATTGGTGACGATGATAGACATGAATCTGTAGTGTGTAGTGGAGAAGGATACTGAGAGACAGAGGCGACGAGGTTTGATGGTGACGATGAGTCTTGTATTAAGGAAATTAGTCTAGATATGTAAAGGATCTTAGAGTCATTAGTATAACTAATTAGAGTTGACATGAAATGGATCACGGGAAAAGCTCTACGTTCTACGTAGGTTGGTTTGCTAGGTTGACCCTAGTGTACTCTGTCTATATTAAAACTCCATGTACATTAGATTGTTAATACAAGTCATTTCATTATCTATATTATACCATATATATAATGAAAAGACTTGTATTAACAATGTAATGTACATGGAGTTTATGTATACAGAGGACATTAGGGTTTTAGACTAATAAATATACGATCCTTTACATATCTAGATTAGTTTCCTTAATACCAGACTCATCGTCACCATCAAACCTCGTCGCCTCTGTCTCTCAATATTCTTCTCCACTACACACTACAGATTCATGTCTATCATCGTCACCAATCCACATCATTCTCTTCTTCTCTGACTGGAGCCATCAAGCTCACCACCACCACCACCACTTATTTGTCTCTTTCGACGAGTCTAAACATCGTTGCCGTTGTCATGGTCTCGATATCACCGTCTTCATGGTCTCGAGCTTGCCGTCGTCATGGTTCGAGCACGCCGTGGATGAAGAAGGCGGCATGGGATGTTGGACTCCACTCAAACTCACTATTTCTAAATTTTCTTTACCCGTATTGCACTCCACTCAAACTCCTATTTCTTGTTCTGATTGCCTATTGAATAAAAACCATAAGCTTCCTTTCTCTCAATCTACAATCACCTCAACCAAACCTCTTCGATATATATTTATGGCTCTATCCTCTCAAAAGAAAGTCTGAAGTCAAAGAAATACTTCAAGCGTTTAAACCTTTGGTAGAAAACAGATTTAACACGAAGATAGGTACCTTATATTCTGATAACGGAGGTGAATATATTGCTTTGCGAGCATACCTGTCTCAAGATGGAATTTCGCATCTGACGACGCCTCCTCACACACCAGAACATGAAGGTCTATCAGGGAGGAAGCACAGGCATATTGTCGAGACAGGCTTGACTCTATTATCTGCAGCATTCAATCATATTGGACTTATGCCTTCCAGACGGCGGTTTACTTGATAAACCGTATGCCCACACCAATCCTTTCTCATCAGTCGCCGTATCAGAAGCTATTTGGCGTCTCTCCGAACTATCGAAAACTAAAAGTGTTTGGCTGCCTCTGTTTCCTGTGGTTGCGTCCCTACACCAATCACAAACTTGAAGATCAATCTACGGAATGTGTGTTCATGGGATACTCAACGCACAAAGTGCCTACCTTTGTCTTCAGCGATCTTCGGGTCGGGTCTTTACCTCACGCCATGTATAATTTGTAGAGGATCGATTTCCTTTTCCGAGAAATACAACACCTTCCTCTCCTAATCCAACTCCCACTTCTCCGCAACCATCAGGCTCTCAAGCTTCGTCGATTATTCCGATTCTGCCTCTCCCCTACACACCTCAAGTGAACCCCCCGAGCTCGATCCTTCATCAACAACATCGTCTTCGACTCAGCCACCGTCAACGTCGTCTCAGGTATGTCCTACTAAACCCTCATCGTCTCCAATTTTACCTCACTCTGGGCCACATGCCCATCACAATAATGGGCTAAATACCCAAGTCCAGAATCCTACCCTCAACCCAATACCCACAGACCAAACACTTCCCAACCCTACAGCAGCCCAAAATAATTCAGGCCTAACCACTACATATCATAATTCAAAACTACAAACAACTAACCCTTCTCCATCGATTCCTCAAACAGAATACCCAGCACCACCAAATAACGACTCTGCTCCAACCACCACCAACGACTGATAATAGGAATTTTGAGGATCCTAATCAAATGTTGTAATATAAAAGATGTCAAACCATTTCTAAATGATTATAAACCAAAGGGAATAGAAGACCATGCTTAATCTAAGTGTTATCAATAGGTGAGATGATTTTTAAGTAAGAAACTACAAATTAAGCAATAAAGATCAAAACTTTCTTTCTAAATGAGATGAGAGAACTCATGGGATAAGGGAATTGATCTTGGGTGATTAAGTTTCAATCTAAAGGTGGAAGCTGTGGGAACCGAAATTCACCTCTGTCAAGATTACGTAAATTTAGGAATTTAGAGTAAACCCTAACTTCCCAGAGGACCCGGCTATCTGCGGAACCGCACACAAGCAATCAAGAACGCGATTAATATGAATAAGTTAAAGAGATGTAAAGAAAACGAGATTGAGAGCAAAAGGATTCTTATTCTGAATTCGCGTAAGAACGGTACAACAAGAGTAAGCCTTAGCTGCGTGAGCCGTCAGCGAGATTCCTAACCCTAGCAATCTAAGACTAAAACCCTAGTTGAGACGCAGCTCGATAAAGAAAACGGAAATATTCCTAAGTGCTAAGTTTGGTGGTGAAAGCTCTGAAAACTTGTCGTTTGCTTCTGTCCTCTGCCTTCTGCTTATATACTCCCTCCTTTTGGCGGTTTAGTCCTTCCTTTTTGCCCAGATTTGAGTTTATCGGGAATCTTCCATTAATCTCGATCTTTCCTTTTTCTACGCGGAAATCTTCTATTTATCTTCAAACTTGACATTTATCTTCTTTTTGCGAGTAAATCTTACAACCGTCATTGTATCTTTGGGGTGGATTTCGTTTAAAGTCATAAGTGGACTTTTATCGCGCATTTGGGCTGTCCGAGCCGTTTTGCGATAAAAACTGTTTTACAGTTTTTAGACGAGATAGTTTCCTGACACAATGCCGTTTTTTTATATGATTTCTCGAGTTGATCGTATAGCTTGACAATGCACGATGTTTCGTTTAATCGTCGACGTTTTATACGATCTTCCCGAACTTGACGAGAAAAGAAGATTTTTACGATTTTTATCGTAAGACTTAAATGGTAAGACAGATCGAGACGAAACGAGAGACGTTTCGACCATGGTTTAGAGCATGATCAAACCAAAGGACGTGTGCTTTGTGTCAAGGACGTGGGAGATCGAGGCTCGGGACAGTCAGCTCGACGTATGGCTAGCCGAACCGGATTGGTTCAGCTCGCCGTACGGCGAGCTGCGTTAAGGTGACCAGCTCGCCGTACGCCAAGCTGGTCCGAGACCGACCAGTTTGCCGTACAGCAAGCTGAACCGGCTGGTTCAGCTCGTTGTACATTGAACTTGGTCCGGTCGAACCTGCTCGCGGTTATGGTAGATGCGGTTTTTTGCGGTTTTTGCTTAACTTGGGCAATTGTGTAATCGGCGATCGTTTCGTTCGTTCTTCCGAGATGATGATTTCCAAGTTTTCCTCGGATTTCCTTTGTTCGGAAAGTCCTTAGAATTTAATAAAACAACTTGGTTTTATAAAACGTATTTTTATTTTTGCGGAAAGTTTTGGTCATTGATTCCGTCGTACCGATTTTGATCCCAACAGTTAGCCCCCCAGCTCGTAAGAATCGTGGAGTTCTTGCGAGCGGTTCGAACTTGTTCTGCAAGTTTGGTAGAATTAGGCGGAATTTAATGGCCAAAAGTTCAAAGGTGAATAGTAAAACTTTCTCTTATATGTATATGGAGTAAATTTTTAAATTATTAACTCACTTCCTTCCATAACTTATCTAAGGTTCAAGAAGTTTTCTCTCTTCCTTTCCCTTTGAATCTCTTTCTCTCATTTTCACTAAACATTTTTTCAAAGAGAAGAACTCGTTCCGGAACCAGTTTCGATCGTCACGGTTCTGAAGGAACAAACTCACAGCCTCGCACTGTAGTTCCGAAGGAGGAGTTTTCGATTCCATTGGTTAGTTCGGAAGACGCTGAGGCGTATTGGGCGACTGGAGGTGGCACGAGGCTTAGCAGGCCTGGAACCTGGGTTCCAATCTCCGTTCAATGCCAACTATGTTCCCGGATGCCCGAGTTCGGTTTGCCCTAATGGTCTTGAATCCATTCGGGAGTTTTGCCATGTCCCAGACGCGGTAGGGTTTCGTCTTCCATCAGCTGGAGAGAGTGCAAAGGAGAGTGCTATGATGTGTTTTTGATGCAATGCCACTTGTGGTTTCCGATTCCGGAGATTATCGTCCGATATCTCCATCGCCTAGGGCTATCGATAAGCCAAATGACCCCGTGCGCTATGCAGCAGCTCATTGGTCTACTGATGTTTAGTTACGAACGAGGGATAGTTCTTAGTGTTGATCACCTCGAGGGTTTATTGAAACCTTAGAGGACGTCGCACATGATTAAATTATCCTCTCCTAAAGAAATAGTCACCGGTTGCATATCAGATTATCGTTCTTGGTAGAAGAATTTCTTCTACGTCCGTATCGATAGTGCATCAGTAAAGGAGAACTGCATTCCCAAATGGGGTCAGAAAGGTACGTGATGCATATGATCTTTTAGAAGATCCCCTTTTCCTTTTACTCATTTGGTTTTCTTTTCCGCAGAGACCAACCCCTTGCCTCCGTTCCCAGCGGATTTTTCAACCGTTATTGCTTAGCTTCAAGATGGGGATGCTAGCTGGAGCAGTTTTTCTCCGCAGCGTGTTCGTCGTCCGGTCGCCCTATTTCAGTCTTGGTTTCTTGTAGACTCTCCGATTTTTGAAGAGGATCTGTGTATAGGAGAATTCATTCCATACACTTCCCCAACGAGGAGGAATAAGTCGAGATCCCGAAAGGATAAGAATGTGGTCGTTGATGATGACACATCCGTCCGTGTCGCTTCTCCTAAAAACATACTCAAGGATTTCCTTGACAGTCAGGTGAACGAGGGCGTTTGGGCACGTGCAGGTGGATCATCGACTTCTAATTTCTCGGATGGCGATCTTGGCTATGTTCCAGAGTCTGCCAAAGCATCC